CACTTAACAATAGGTCTCAGAGATCTTTCCATAATGGTATGTATAGCTCTACCTCATTTTTTAACAGTTGCGTAATTTTCCATAGTGTGACCATTATATGAATATATCATAATTTACTTAATTCTGTCTATTAAAGATTTGGGATGCATCCAATTTTTTTTGTTATTATAAAAAAAACTGCAATGATCCATAAATGATTTTCAGCTTCTGAAAACATATTAAGACTGATGACATGTATCAATCTATTTCACTGATTAATAGGTTTGTAGATCTCCATGATTTGTAACCTCAAGTAGAAGATTGCAGGTTTAACACTGCACCGGACCCTCCCCTGACAAGGCATCTCTGACTAGCATCCTTTCCTTGAGTTATTCGCTTTTTCCTCCTGTTACCTTTCATTCTGTATACATTTTAATCACTCGCTATTGCTCTGAGATAGAATTATTTATACCCTTGTGCTTTTCCTTCCAGATTGTGAATTCCTTGAAAGCAGGGACTGCATTTTCTTAGTTTCTAGGCCAGCGTCTGGCGCATGGTAGGATCCATAGATATTTGAGTGTTTTTGGTATGTCTATGAGTGGTTTCTTGTTTTTGTTTTTGTTCTTTTTGAGTGTCTTTGAGTATGTGATTTGCAGAGGACCAAGGCTGGTGAAATGTTCCTTTCCCAGCCAGGAATTTGAGAGTCACCGCTCGGCCCCATTCTGTGCCCACAGCATCTGGAGCCCAAGCTCTCTCCTCCCTTGAAAGCTGGAGGTGCTCCACTCACTGCTAATTATGCTGCCAGCCATTCCCCATGGTCTTGAAAATATTTCTCTGATGATATCAAATCTGAGCTCCTGTGACTGATAAAAGCTTTTGGTTCCACAAGAGTTTGGTTCTTCAGGTATTTTTTCAGCTCAGAATAAATCCGACAGATGAGTTATGTGTCATCCACATGCACTTTATTTAAGATGAGGCTCTGTGATGGAGCTTATTTTTGGGTCTACAGGGGACTCCTGCCCTCAGTGTGGGTTATGGGCCCTTCCTCTGTGGCCCCACTCCTGGGCTTCTCTCTGACCCAGCTCCAGTGAATGTAATCACCTGTCTCTCCCACTGTACTATCTGTCTCATTCACTATGTCCCCTTAACAGCTGACACTGGGCAGCTGATTTTTCTGAATTAGTCAACAAATCCCAAACTGCTTGTGCAAGAGCCCCACCTCCAAGACAGTTCATGGCTTTGGCAAACTGGGCCAACTGAGGGGAAAGGAGCAAGAGAGCAAGTCTGGCATAGAGCGAGAGTCAGGGAAGGAATGCATGTGGAATTGAGGATGGGAAGGCTGGTGGAAATGGACATGGAAGTCTCCCAAAAGGCTCGTGTACCCACTCATCCATCCACCATTCACTCATCCACCCACCCATTCTTCCATCCATCCATCTACCATCCACCCACCCATCTATCATCTACCCACCCAGCTACCTACCCATCCATCTACCATCCATCCATCTACCATCCATCCACCCATCTATCATCTACCCATCCAGCTACCTACCCATCCATCCATCATCCACCCACCCACCTACCCATTCACCCATCCATCCATCCATGCATCCATCCACCCATCCACTCATCCATCCAACAACTATTTCTGAACACCTATGAGGCACTAGGAATGATACAGTGTATAACACAGAGTCCCTATCTTCTTGGAGCTGACATTTTAGTATGGACACAAACAAAACTCAGATAAAGGAATGCATAAATACCGTGTCTGGCACTCTATACTATACACTATACACATGAGATGAAACCCAAAACAGGGCAAGGGTTGTGTTCTCCTAGATAGGGCCTAAAGGGAAGGCTTTGAAGAAATACTTCAGCAAAGGCCTACTTGAAGTAAGGGAGGAAATCACATGACTCTCTGGGGGAGAGCATGCCCTGTAAGGAGAGATGTACAAGCCCTGAGGCAAGAATTGGCCAGTATCTTGGAGCAGTAGGAGGAGGCCGGTGAGGTGGGAACAAAGGAAGTCAGCAACAGATGATGACAGCTTGAAGAGCTGACTCTCCTCTAGGGCTTTCAAAAAATTTCTTAAGCTGACATTTATTAAGAGCTTATTACATATCAGACTTTGTCTTAAGGACTTTAGATCTATTAACTCATTTATTTCTCACAAAAAACATCAGTAGGTATTATGATCATCCCTATATTATAAATGAAGAGATGGAGGCACCCAGATTAAATAGCTTGCCCATGCACATGGCTAGTAACTGATGGAACCCAGATTCACACCCCAGGCACACTATGTAACCAGCCACCCTGCTGTCCTTGGATAGAGCCGCCACTTTGGTTAACGCAGCAATAACCGTGCTCCTCCCCCACGTGCTCCTCCCCCAGCACTTCAAGGAGCAGCTAGTATTCATTCATTCACTCAACAAAGGGAGGTGTGTTTTCCACTTGCTGTGTAACACATCAGGGCGCTGGGTGCACAGGACAAACAGGAAGATGATCCAGTTGGGAAGGCAGCAAAGTGAAGCGGCAATGACTGGGTGCTTAGAGCCATGAAGGAGAGAAGCACAGGATGTTATGAGGACACAAAAGAGGACACATACCCATGCTTGAGCGAGTCAGGAGTTGCAGAAGCCTTGCTAGAGAAAGGTGACCTGGGGACAGGTCATCCCATTGCCCCAGGGGACAGGCCATGAAAAGTATTCCCAGCTCTTCTCTCGTGGAGAGAACCTCGTCTGCAGCAAGCCCCACTGCTGACATGCCCTATCAGTACGTAGCATTGCCAACAAATCCACTTTCAACTGTTCACTAATCACTAGCCAATATTACTCCCCTTCCCCAAATGTACCTGCTTTCCTCTTCCCCTCCTGCCCATCCCCACCCCCAGCTGGGATCGCAAGTGTTGGAGCAGCTAAAAAGTGGCCCCTCTCCACCAAAGAAAGGAGCCCTGGAGAGCGACAAAAGTTTTAATGGATGAATGCCAGGCTTTCATTACTGACTGGGAGAGGATTTCGGATGTGCCAGCCTCTTTTGTAAGCCCCCTGAAGTCACAGCATGAGGGCAGCTCATGATGAGGGTGATGAGGGGGCTAGGGAAGGCCATGCCTACTTGTCAAGCTGGTCTTGGAAGGAAGACAAGCAGGCAGGAAGGAACCAGGAGGCCTTGGAAGCACAAGAAAGGAAAAACAACCACAGGGTCCAGGAGAACCCCCTTGGCCTGGCCAGCCTGGAGGCTCTCCATGCCAACAGTAAATCGTGGGGTGCTGCAGCCTACAAACCCTGGCCCTTACTTTCTTCCTCAGAGAGGGGGGAAAAAGGTAAGGAAGTGGGTAGCTCTTAGAAGACTGTTATAAATTTCAAAGTAAAAAGGAGTTGTTTTTGATGTCTGCCCAGAGATACAGCCAGGTCCCAGGGGGCTGCATTTGTGGTTCCAGTAAAAGGAGCGATGTTGACATGGAATTCTTGGATTGGCCTCATTTCATGAAAAACAAGCTGCCAAACCAAATGGGAAATGGAGTTCAGCAGAGAAGTATGTGCTGACTCCCGCCCCCCACCAGCCCCCCCACAACTTGGCTTCCTATGACAATCAGCACACGACTTATATTCTCTAACCAGAGTTCTAGCATCAGGGAATTTTGCTGGCAGGCCCCCTGGTTCACAGGACATACAGTTTGCTCCTGATGGTCTATTTCTCAGCAGGGTCAGCCTGGGCCCGTGGCCTGTCATTTCTCCAACTTCCTGTTCTTCAATGGAAAAGAGAAAATTCTAGGCAGGGAGATGACTGGAACCAGATCAGCTTCCCTAAGAAGTTGGCCCAGAATCCAGAGATAGCTAAAGAAGTTTCAGACTTGTAGCTCCTACTTAACCATGTCTCAGGCTGGGATATCTGCTACTTTTCAGTCTGCTTCCATGGTTAAGTCAGGTCAGCTTCCTATGCATCCATCATTGGAGATGAAAGATCAATTCCATTCTTACTTTACCAACCTACCAGCTCTGTGACCTTGGACAACTGGCTTAAGCTCTTTATGTTTTGGTTCCTTCAGCTGTCAAATGGAGATAAAAGACCTATATTACAAGGTTCCTATGAGGATTAAATAAAAGCATGCATATAAAATGCTAAGGCATAGTGTTCATACACATTAAGCACTCAATAAATTGTAGTGGCTATTTTTTTTATTTTTATTTTCATTCATATCAGTCAGCCAATGTACTTAGCTAAGATTCTTTTACATATAAAAAGTAAGATGAGGTCGTCGGTGAGCCTGGGTTACTCAGTTGGTTAAGCATCTGCCTTCGGCTCAGGTCATGATCTCAGGGTTCTGGGATGAGCCCTGAGTCTGGCTCCCTGCTCAGTGTGGAGTCTGCTTCTCCCTCACCTTCTCCCCACTCATGCTTCTCTCTCTCATTCTCAAATAAATTACTAAAAATTTTTTTTTATAGTAAGATGAGGACTAAAATCTAGCTCAGGAAAAAGGTAGTGGTGGGAGAAGTAGAGTGATAGGTGCAAATTATAAGGATACAAGTTACCTTATGGGATATGGGGCAGGAGTTAGAGTTGAGTCTCATGTGAATTGGAATCAGGGATTGCAAACGGGGAGCTAAGACTTTGTATTCTCATCCAAGTGGGTCTCTTAGAACAGTGCTGTCCAGTAGAATTAGCTATGACAATGGAAATGGTCTAGATCTGTGCAGTGCAACTGAGGAACTAAATTTTAAATTACTGATGTTATTTAAATAAATTAATTTAAATTTAAACAAATTAAACCAATCAATTGCATTATTATTTGAAGAGAATTAAAAAGCCCCATAGGGCTACCAAGTTGGACAGCAGACTTTGCTTCTCTCTCTCTCTCTCATGGACATGTGTGCGCCCCACCCCACTTCCTCTGCATCCTCTACACATGGTCAACCATAGTTATTGGATTTACCTCCCAGCCCAGGACCCACTTTGGACGGTCATGCCTCTGCTTTGGGGTTCCAAGTCCTAGGAGAGTAATGTGATTGACTTCACTTACCTTGTCATGCCATGCTGCAATTTAAAGACCACTCTAGAAAACGCTTTGTGGTCAGGGTTCACTGCTGGACCATGGGGTCATGGAATCATATACTCTCTCCACAAGGGCTGGGGGAGGGGGGGTAGGGATTCCCCCAGGCAGGGCTGTGTGGGGCAGGCGGCTCCGGGAGCCCGTGTGCCTTTTCTCTGAGGATGGCAGGGATCCAGTGGTTGGCGTCGATGCCTCAGCCCGGCCCGGGAACTGGATAGCTAGGACAGGACGTATGACGATGCCTTTCTGGGCTTCCACGGTGATTCAGGCCCTGTTTGTGAGGAAAGCCCAAAGGTCTTGCATTAACTAGTGAATCTGGGAGGAAGCAGATAAAGAAGGAGCAGCCTCTGCCCGGTGCGCCCTGCTGTTCCACACCCAGGCCTGGGGGTGCTCCTAGTGTGGCTGGATGATGACAAATGACTGAGACTTGAAAACACCAGGTTTGAAAAAGAATGTTTTGTTTTCCTCCAGATTCCTGGAGGCCCAGAGACGAAGATTAACACTAGCGAGAGAACAATGGCCGATCTGGGGAACTCCGTGTCATTGTGAACTCTTAGCTTCACCCTGTTGATTGAGCTTGACAAGCCTTCTCGGTCAAGCAACTGACTGGGGCTAGCACACAGCTGCTATGTCTGGCCTTTGTCTCTAGGCCTTTTAACTGGTTTGTCTGAGTCCTTGAATGCATGGAATCAATGGGTCGTTTAACTTATTAATCAAACATCAGACATTATTAAAGGGACAACGACATGCCCCAAAGTGCGCTTGTCTTTGGAGAAGAATATGATAATAGGATCCTCGGGGAAAACTGGGGGTGATAACCCCCACCCCTCCTGGCTATCCTGAGGAAGAGACTACGATGAGATGCTGGGCAGCACAGAAGTGAGCGGGAGCAGGAGGGGGCTGTGGTTCCTCATGCTTGCCTCCATCCTGCCTGCCCCCCGGCCCAATCCACTCTCCACAGCGCGGCCAGAGTGATTGGGCATGTGGACACGCACCAAGGCTACTCTGCTGCTCAAACCCTCCGACGATCCCCATCACACTTAGAATAGCATCCCAGCTCTGGCCTGCAAGACCCCCAGCTCGGGGCCTTCCCCACCGCTCTGACCCCATCGTCTGTGGCTCTTCCCCTTGCGCTCACCCAACCCAGCCACACAGGCCTCTCACTGCGTTTCCACATGAAACTCAGTCTCACCTTAGGACGTCTACACTGATGGGTCCCTCCGCTTCTGGAATGTTCTCCTAGATTTTTTTTTTTTTTTTTTTGCATGGCTGGCTCTTCTTATTCACCATGCATCCTCAGGTCTTTCTTGATCATCCAATTCAAAGTATTTCCCCTGTCACTCTCGATCCTACTCACCTGGCTTTATTTTTATCATAGTATTTATCCTTCACTGCCTGACATTCTCTTGGTTGTTGTTGTTTGTTGACTTTCTGTCTTCCCTAATTAAAATAGCCTCTTCAATATAAGAAGTCATTCAAGTGAGACTTTGCCTTGTTCGCCTTATATGTTTGCAACTTCCAGGACTGCACAAAGCACAGTTTGGTTCTCGGTTATTGTTTGGTGAATAATTGATTGACTTAGTGAGAGGAATTGACTGGCACAGGTTAGCAGTTTTGCAAAGATCCAGGGTTTTATGTTGTGTTTCATTGTACGGTCTTGATGTTAATTTAATTTAATTTCTTAGCAAAACTAAGGGATTAACCTTCTAACTGCCCTGACTGTAGGTTTTGGATCTTTCTGGGCTCTCCATTTCCTCTGATTCCTCTTTCACTAACCTAATGTGGCTATTCAGAAGTGTGCTTAGTTCACCTTTTAAAAATGCTTTGAAAAGACTCATTCTGGATTGAGTGCAAATCCATTGGTAGCCCCAGACACTCTCTTGAACTTTAGCATTTAGATGTGTTGCAGGTTCCTCCAACTGAGTGTCTGAACTGAGATCAGCGTCTTCCATGTTCCTCCTTAAACCCACTCTTTCTCTTTTGTTCTCTGCCTCCAAGAATGGCTCAGTCATTCTTCCAGGGTAATAGCCAGAAATCTGGGCCGAATCCTCAATGTCCACTTCTCCCTCTACCTTCCTATTGAATTAGGTGATTCTACCCTCGGTTATTTGAATCTGTCCAAATCCATCTTCTTGTCTCAATCCCCAGTACCTCTACCACGGTCTAGGCCCCTTTGATGTCTTGCTTCAGTTATTGAAACAGCCTCCTTATTGGCCTCCTTGACTGCACTGTCCCACCTCCAATCCATTCTCCAGTCCACAGACACTACCCGCAAGTCCCAGCATCTTCCCTTCAGTGGTTCTCCACTGTCCCGGAATGAAAGTCAAAACCCCTTAATGTGGAGTGCTTGGGTGGCTCAGTCGGTTAAGCGTCTTCCTTTGGCTCAGGTCATGATCCCAGGGTCCTGGCATCCAGCCCCGCATCGGGCTCCCTGCTCAGCGGGGAGCCTGCTTCTCCCTCTACCTCTGCTGCTCCCCCTGCTTGTGCTTTCTCTCTGTCAAATAAATAAATAAAAATCTTTAAAACAAACAAACAAAAAAACCCTTAACGTGACCTCTAAGGCCTTGACATTGCTTCCCTCAGCAGCCTCATTTCTTGTAACGTCCCTCCCTCCTCCAACCCCACCTTCTTCCTGTTCCCCAAACTCTGTGTGTCTCTCCTCTTCAGTGCTGGTGTCCATGTTGTTCTCTCTGCCCAGAACATTCTTGTCCTTTTCCTTGCCTGAATGCCTAATAGTCCCTTCAGTCTTGCATGCGGCATATGTGTTGGGACTTCGGGTCCCCAGGTCTGAGATAGGTGCTCCTCCTTAACGCGCCGTCAGTGGTTGCTACTGCGGCTAATATTAATAAAACTAAGAAGAGTATTAGTTAGAATATAAGACACTGCCTGGGGCTCAAACAAGATCAAAGTATATTTCTTTCTCATTTGACTAGACTGGAGGTTAGAGGGCAAGACAGCAGGTCAAGTGTCCTTCTATCATGCTGTTTCTCCATCCTGAGGGACTGCCTTGTTGGCACTGTCCCGGACAACTTCACCGCCACATCTGATATTCCAGCCATCCAGCAGCATGGTGCTTGCTATGGACGGAATATTTGTGTCCCCTCAAATTCATATGTTGAAATCCTAATCCCCGGGGTGATGGTATTTAGAGATGGGTTTTGGGGGGGTAATTAGATCACAAGAGTAGAACCCTCATGGGATTAGTGCCCTCATAAGAAGAAACACAAGAGTGCCATGCCTCCCTCCCTCCCTCCCTTCTTTTCTCCCTCTCTCCCTCCCTCTCTCTCTCTCCTTCCTTCTCTTTCTCCCTCCCTCCTTCCCTCCCTCCCTTCTTTTCTTCCTCTCTCTCCCTCCTTCCCTCTCTCCTTCCTTCCCTCCATCTCTCCCTCCTTCTCTCTCTCCCTCCCTTCCTCCTTCCCTTCTTTTCTCCCTCTCTCTCTCCCTCTCTCCCTCCCTCTCTCCCTCCTTCCTTCCCTCCATCTCTCCCTCCTTCTCTCTCTCCCTCCCTCCCTTTTCTCCCTCTCTCCCTCCCTCCCTCTCTCTTTCTCTTTCCTTCCCTCCCTCTCTCCCTCTTCTCTCTTTCTCCTTCCTTCCCTCCATCTCTCCCTCCTTCTCTCTTTCTCCTTCCTTCCTTCCATCTCTCCCTCCTTCTATCTCTCCCTCCCTCCCTTCTTTTCTTCCTCTCTCTCTCCCTCCCTCTTTCTCCTTCCTTCCCTCCCTCTCTCCCTCCACACATTGAGGAGATGGCCAGCAGTCTGTAAAACCAGAAGACAACCTTCATTAAGAGTCCAGGCATGCTGGCACCTTGATCTCATACTTCTAGCCTCCAGGACTGTGAGAAATAAAGATCTGTTGCTTAAGCCACCCAGTCCATGGTATTCTCTTACAGCAGCCGGAGCTAAGACAGCGCTAGAAGTAGAGAGCACAGGCCCCTTCTCCCGGATGCTCTAAGGGCGTCACCTGGGGGTAATTATATAATTACAACAGAGAGGCGAACAGACAGCACAACTTGCCAGTATTCACAGAGCACTGTGCTGAGTAAATGCCTGTTCTCATTTGACTCTCTCAACTGCCTTACGGGGGTGAATGCTGTTTTCATCCTCCCTCCCATTTTTAAGCAAAAGATGTTTTATCAACAAGCCAACTTTGCAAATCCGAGAAATAATATGGTACAGCATGTGATGGCAGTTCCTTCTCAGAAAAGTTCTCATGTGATGTGCACGTGACCTTTATATTTGTTAACAAACACGGCAGCGAATTTCAGCACTTTCTGTTCTTGTGTAGCTATTATTTTAAATTTAGTTTTATGATGGTCCAAGTTATATGTGCATGTCGTTAAAGAATCAAAAGATGCTTTACTCCAAAAGGTGGTACCTACTTCCGTGTTCCCCGCTCTTTCCCCAAATGCACACAGGGCAGCTTCCGGTCCAGAGACAACCACTCTCAGCACTTTACTCTCTTCACTGCACTTCCCTCCCTAACGTGCTTCTCCTGCCACTCTGTGATTTCTCAGTTTTAGGCCTTATCTCTTGTCTTTCTACCATGAGAAGATGAGGATATAGCTCTGATATCCAGCCATCGCCCCATATGCAACCTACACACATACTTTCCCCTCATTCTCCTATCTTCCCAACGTAGGTATCACTGACTTATTTAGGCAGGTCAGTATTTTCAGAGCTGTGTCATCCAGCACACTCGACTTTTCACTTTTCCTGCACAATTTTTTTATTTCCCCTGGAACCATTTTCTTATATTTGAAGCCTGCTTAATTTTCTGTGTACTTCTCTCTGATTCAGCCTCAAGCATAAACCTTTTCCAAATGTCTTCAAATCCATTTGGTGTTCTATCAAGTTCATCTTTTCGAAGCAACCTCCCTGGGGGCCTTCTGACCGGCTCCGATCTGGACAGGTGGCCCTCATGCCTCGGGTACAGCTGTCGTCCCAAGATCCCTTCAGTACCCGGCAAGCCTTCCTTGTGCCTCTTAGGTTGAAACTCCTTGTTGGTGGGCCCCATGCTTTCCTCTTTTCTGGGTTATTCCTTTAGCTTGGAGTGTGGGAAAGAGGCCATGGAAGGGTTTTGTTTGTTTTGGCCGTATGTGAAACATGTTTCTTGTGCCATTTTTAATGGGAATTCTTAGCCTCGTGTCAGAGATGAAGCAATTGAGGTTCAGCAATATTAAGCAACTTGGGACTTGCTCAGTTGCTCTAGTAGGGTCTTTCCCCTGGCAGAGCACCTGGCACACTGCTTTTGGATCTGTTTTCCTTTCTGAGCTGCAAGCTCCCTTGGGGTGAGGGGGTCAACCTTGTTCCCTTTTTCACCTCCAGTGGTAAGGCCATCCTAGGTACTCAACTACTGTTTCTTAGGTGATTTTGTTGGGTCTGATTTTGGAGGACATTATTTATTACATCCCAGCAATACCCATTTTGTTTCTAACTTCCCAGATTCTCTGTATCTGCTGTCATTATCCCCACCCCTGTCATGTTGTGCTGCACGTCATCGCAGGAGAACCATAAATGTCTCGCCTGCACCTGAAAGCGCTCAGAAAGACTTCTCTGGGTGAGTCTTGCTCGTGCTTTGTTCCTGAATCACAGAACACAATTCCAGAGCTCGTTTGTGTGAGATATACAATAGTAGAATCACAAAATATGTTTTCCCTGAAAGAACAACTTACTCAAGTGAAGGCAAATGCTATATTTATGGCATTTCTTTCCTGTTTTTTGGATAGCTCATGGAAACTTGACAGAACAAAGGAATTATTTTTATGAGGATAAATCTGTGTGGTTAGGGTGGTGTTTGCTTGCTGCCCCTTAAGTCTGAACATCGCAACCTCGAAAAAAAAACAAGACTCTTTGATTAGTAAAAACAACCTGACACTTTCCCTTCAGCCAGCTGACTCTGTATTATGTTAAAATGCAATGTAACACACACAGCCCCTGGTGCCTTCCCCAGAACCTGAACCTACCGTAGCTAAAAATAGCCCTCAGGCTTTCCCTGCAGCTCAAAAACAGGAACAGCACAACTTGTTTGCCTCATTCTGCGTTGTGCACGGGGATCCAGTCCCCTCCAACATCCTGGCCCTCACACAGCATGAACAAATTCTGATCTGCTGATTACAAATTCAACAGGTCCAACAATAGGAAGTGAATTCTGCACAACCATGGCTGCCCTGGGTCCTGAAACAATGTGCTGCTCATGCTGGATTCCCAGGTGGGAATAATAACCATAACCTCCATTAGAGAGAAGGCACCTCTCAGCGTTCTCGATGCTCTGTGGGCACGGAAATAGTACTGTGTATTAACCCTTTTAATCCTTACCCTCCTGGAGGGTAACTCCCATTATTATCCCCATTTTATGGATGAAGGAACTTGCCTGCTCACCCAAGACAGTATGGGGTGGTAGTTGGGTTTGACTAATGAGCGTCATGTCACGAGTCCTCGCCTGGGCTTCCATCATGCCGTGGCTGCTTAGATGAAGGAACATCCTCCCTGTCCAGCCTAACTCGGATTACTGTTGGCCCGTAAAGGTAAAGGCAGGGACGATACCCTCTCAGTCAGGAGGGACTGTGAGTGATGGTCTATCCTTGAGTATCTTTTCCTTCTACAGCACATCTGACTAGCTCCCGCCGAACTCCGTGGGAAAACCAGAGAGAGGCTTTGGAGTTGGCCAGGCCTGTTTTCATGTCTTAGCTCTCCCATTCACTAACAGGAACACTGCTACTACTAATCATGAATAGTTATCAAGTACCTTCCATGTGCCAGGCACTGGCCAAGCCCTTCTAAATGCATTACCTCCTGCAACCCTCACAACAGCCCCTGAAGCATGTCCTTGTCTTCATTTTGCAGTTGAGGACCCTGAGGCTTGAGGAGCAAAGTAAGGGGGCCAGGTTAGTGTGGCAGTCAAAAGCATGGGCTATGGAATTAAACATCCCTGATTCAGGTCCTACTTCCTATGGTGTGACCCTGGGCCAGTTACTTAACCATTCTGAACCTGTTTCTCCATAAGTAAATGGGGGCACATAATGATGTGTACCTTGCAGAGTTATTGTGGGAATGAGACTAAAAAGGTACTAAATAGTAAAGTTACTAAATAATAGTTCTTTGAAACTTTCCCTCTTTTTAGAGGATCTCAGTCCATGTATAGTTCTGATGATTTGAAAGGCCTTTTTATATCTCACCTGAAAATCTTTCTCTTGATTACTCATGCTTCCTCACAATACATCTAGTTATAGGGACAGAGTCTAGACTTTGGAATGTGGAATACATAGTTTATAATCTATTCATTCAGTATGTTTTTGAGTTTCAGTTACTCTTGTAGGCTAGTAAACAGAAAAAGTTATAGATTATAGTCCAGAGTGTATGTGTGGCAAGAGCAGGGAGGAGGGAGGTAGACAGACACAAAATAAGCAAACAAATAAATATGAAAATGCCAAGTGGTGTGTTTTCTTCACCAGTTTTGAAGAAAATATAACAAGAGAGTGTGATTGCATATGATGTGTATGTGGGGGTGATGGTGGTGGGGCTGATTCTTTAGGTTGGACGATGAGGAAAGGCCTCTCTGAGGATGCAACACTTCAGCAGACATTTGACAAGGACCCAAGCATTAAAACATCCAGAGAAAGAGCATTCTAGGCAGAGTAGAGCTAGATCTAGAGTTAAGGTCCCAAGGCTGGAACCACCTTCTGAGTCCAAAGCACCAAAAAGATCACTGAGTGGTGCAGAGTGAACAAGGGGGAGACTCAGCAGAGAACAGGTCATGGAGGACTCTCTGAGCTGGGACAAGAAGTGGGGATTTTATTCTAAGTCAGGTGAGAAGATATTGGAGGGCTGAAGTGACATATTATGCTTTACTTTTCAGAAAGATGATCCTGGCAGGGGTGTGGAGAGTAGATTGTCAGGGAAGGGGCAAGAGAGAAGGCCGAGTCTGAGAGCAGCTTTCTGGCAGTAGTCGAGCTGCAAAATGCCGGGATTTGGCTGGGGGTGGTAATAGTAGAGGAGGCAAGAAGTGGATGAATACTGGGGATATGCTGGGAGAGAAAGTGAAGAGCACTAGCTGATGGGGATAAAGGAGAGGAGGAAATCAGGATAGCTCCTAGGTTTTTGATTTGAGCAACCGAGTGGATGGCGGTGTCATTGACCTTGCTTGGGAAGCCTGGTGAAGTTCAGGGTGACAGGGAAAGGAAAAGCCATGCTGTGACCACATTATATTTGGAAAGGTCTATTTGTTATCCACGGGAGGTGTCATGGAGGTGGTTGGATATGTGAGTCTCCAAATCTGCCAAGAAGTTATATTGGAGATTTAGATTCAAGAAACATAGGCTTCAATTGGTATATGGGCTGTGGGATTGAATTAGATCATGAAGGGGGAGAAAGAATAGAGAGAAGAGCTCTGATATTTAAAGTCAAAAAGGAGGAAGCCAACAAAGGAAATGGAGAAGGAGCTGCCGGTGAGGTGGGGGTAAAACCAGGGAAGTTTGGTGTCACAGAAACCAAAAGAAAGGAAAGAAGTCTTTCCGAAAGGTGGACCTGATAAACTGCATGCAGTGCTATTGCAAAGTTCTAGTAAGCACGGCAAAGAGATCATTTGGTTTGGTCATCTGAGGCTCACCAGTTACTTTGCCACGGGCTGTCTCAACAGAAAGTGGGGAGACAGGAGCTCAGAAGGAGTGGGTGGGGCACACACCCATCCCATCCGCTCTTGTGTGGCATGGGCAGGGTCTGAGGGGGGAAAAGGAAGCCCACTTCCAAGTAGCAGCAATGGAAGCAAAACTTTTAGGGCAAAAGTCAGGTGAGAGTCAGGGCAAGAGTCAAGGGAAACATTCTAAGAAGGGATAAGGATATGGGCCTAGAGGCTGCTAAAAAGATGGGCAGGTTAATAGACATGCAGAGTACCATGGGGCTAAGGGTTGGGGTGATAGTGAATGACTTAGGAGGGGGCCTTGACCTTCTGGAGGTGACTGAGGTGAGCAGGGAGGTGGGAATTCATGAGAATAGTGTTGGTGATCTCATAAGAATCTGGCTGGGTAGCAGAAAATTTAGTGAAATCTGTTCATTCCATGTCTGTTTGAAGCCCTTTCACAGCAAGTCCAGACTCCTCAGCACTGTGAACAAAGGTGGCGTGG